TATGTCTCTTCTCCCTGTGATTGGTGCAGATTCCTTGGCTTTTTTTTTTTTTTTTGCCAGAGGGCACATGTGTCCACCAGAAAGAGACAGAGACACAGAGAGAGAAAGAGGAAGAAAGCACCCTACAATGGGGTGGGGCCGCACCCAATCCCTTCTTCATTTCTTTATCCTGCCAGGATTTTGGACATGCACACACACACATGCCCAATGTGTTTCTCAGGTCTCCAGGTTCAAGACTTGAACTAAATTGCCCATGTGACACTCAGCTTCCTTAACCAACTGGGCAAAGGGCTAACCCTCTGTTGGCTTTTTTTTTTTTTAAAAGAATTATTTTAAATTTTATTTACTATTATTTTAATTGGTTATAGGGCATGTGCACTCACCAGAGAGAGGGAGGGAAGGTGAGAAAGCAGTTGGTCCTGTGGGAGTCCAGCACCTTAACTATCACGCCACCTGCTGGCCCCATCCCTGTCTTGCTTTTTAAAACTTCTTTGTTCTGTCTAATCACACAGTAGAGCTGCCCTACATTCTGAAGGTGGCAGACAGGCCATTATTCCCCACCATGTCTGGTTTCTATAACATCCTGGTAAAGAGCTTGAAATTGGAAGGCGTTGCTTTAGAGTGGCATAGACAGACTCCATATCTCAATTCTTGGGATATGGGCAGGAAATGTCTTAAATTTATAAAATGGCATCATTGGCACAGAGTGGACAAAGTGCCTCTGAGGGTAGTCAAGATGGATGGAGGCCAGGAATTTGCTGAGGCCAAACAGGTCCAGGGTGTTTGGTGGATGGATGTGGGACTTCTACTGCTCAGCTGAGAAGGTTTATAAGGTTGCTGTCCTGGAGAGCTGGGTCTGACTGACCACCTAAGTCCAGAGAACCTGATAAGCATGCTTAGCATCACTTTTCTGGTGGTCCTTGGAATAGTGATAAGCATTCGATGCCTTCTTCCTTTCGTCCTAGAGCTTCAGTATGTACAATATGAATTGAGCCCAGCAGGTGTGTTGAGCACTTGTTTAATGCTAGACAGTATTCTTAGGGATGGGGAGGTAGAGTCACCTGGAATTTTAAAAGCTTTCAGCTAGGTAGGCAGGACTTGCTATCTCTACTTGAAAGTTGAGGAAATTGGAGTCAAAAGTAGAAAGTTATTTGCCTGAGATTGGAAGATAAATAAGTAGATGGAATCAGGGCAGGGTCTCAGGTGCCTGACTCCTGGTCCAGCGCATTTTCATGCCCCTAGGCTACACCAGGTGTTGGCTTTCATCCTTTGTCCCCATCCCTGTCCTTATAGAGTTCAAGCAGGGTTTTATAGAGGGCAATTGTCCTGGAGGCTAGTAAAAGCTGAAGAGCATAGCAGTCTGATTTGAAGGCTTTATGTTAGTTTCTTGGTCAGATTTTCAAGTAGATTCCATGTCTGATCTGGCTGCCTCCTGCCTCCAGCCCTTGGTACTTAGGGCAGAAAGCAGCAAGAAGATCCAGAGCTTCTGGTTTGTGGGAATGTGACATCTGCTTACTGACATCTGGTGCCCTTTGTATCTTCTCCATGCCTCCAGACCCAGGAACCGCCAGCCAGGGTGTGTCCAGGCTGCCGTGGTGAGCTTGAGACTAGCCAGCTTCCTAGACTGGCCCTCTGCAGCCACCACGAACAGGAAAACCCTTTTGTGTCACTAGCCAAAAGTTGCCCTTAAAGAGTAGTTTCCTGGGCTCCTGACTGGCTGCTGACCCAATAGTTGGCTGCAAAGTTTCCTGTGGCTGGAGGAAACCTGGGGGCAGTAGGGCTGAGGAGGACCCAAAACTGGAAGAGAAACAGCTTGGGGGCTCCAGCAGCTTCACTGCCCAGATGCTGAGAAGGAATGGTGAGCCCCTTCTCTGGCTCCCGCTGACTTAGGTACCCCATTTCTCAGTACGGACAGCGCCCCCTGGAGTCTGATAACACACATATATGTGGGGCTTGGCCTGTTATTAAGTGCTTTCATCTATATTAGCTCATTTGACCTTTTCACAATATTCTAGTGTGGTGGACAGTTTTTATCCCTGTATTTTACATGAGGAAATGGAAACTTAGTAATGTGACTTGTCCAATATCACCTGGCCAGAAAGAGCAGAACCAATCTGGAACTCATGTATTCCAAGTTTCCTCGTCAAATGGTGTGCCTTCCACCTTTGGGGTAGGGACAGAGAAATCTAGTTTGGAAGATCTCTGGACCCTAGAAGGTTCTTGCTTCTGTTCTAAGACAAGTACTGAAGTGGGTCACAGACATGGGTAGGAGGAACATGTCCTAGTCTGGATGGGCGGCTGGCTCTGGGCAAGACACATGATCTCGCCTGTACCCCACGACTCCTAGAATGTCCTCTTATCCCACTCCTTCCCTGGGGAAGCCAGGAGTCGTTCGCAAAGGGAGGGAGAGGTGGGTAATATTAGGATGTTTACATTATTATCCTTTTGACTCAGGGTGGGGGTGGAGGGCTTATGTAACTGAATTGCGGGACTCTGAGGCCAAGCTTTATTTCTATCATCTGAGTAACTATCTGTGGGGTTTGAATGATGGACTGGAAGTGAAAAACAGACTTGACTAAAGCTTCCTTTCCCCCAGGAGAGCATAGTCTCCAAAGCCATCCAGACTGCTCAGTTGAATCCTGGCTCTTCTGCTCACTAGCTTTCTACTCTTGGGCAAATTATTTAACAGATGTTAAGCCTCAATCTCTTCATCTTTAAAATGGGGAAAGAACTACTTCACAGAGATAGTTTTTAAATTAAATGAAATGATCCTTATGAAGCAGTTAGTATGGAGTACTTGCTCAGAGTAAGCCTTGAATGCTTGCTATTTATTATTATTTATTATTCATCATCATAATACAGCCAGAGAACAGGTCAGACAGTCCCAGGAACCTAGCAGATATGTTTCCTTGGAATTATCTGTACTGTTGAGTGTGGAAAGACTTGTGAATTTGAAATCTGCCAAGACTGATCTCTAGTCTTGATCCTTGCTGCTTCCTACTTGTGAAACTTTTGGCAAAGTACTTAACCACTCTGACCCTTATTTAGCCTTTTAATCCCTAAAAGGGGGCTGTACCTGTCTACCAGTGTTATGAGGCTCAATACTAGCTGAAAATGGTGACTTGTTAACTGTAAACTTCTGTGTAGGGAGCTTCCTACGAGTCCTGGCAGGATGGAGTTTTTATTTATTTATTTATTGCCCACCTAGGGGGAAGGGGGAAATGCATGGAGAGGCTGGGCAAGGAACTGTGTACATTTATCCTGCAGTGAGATGGCTCCTTGGTGCACCTGAGGGAGCTGGTGCAGAGAGATGCAGGGGGGGATGACAGCACTGCCCAGCCTGGCCTCTCTTCTTAAGGTCTACTTCTTAAAGCCTCTCTGGTGCTCTGAGGGACCAGGTGCACAACCTCCTTTCCAGAGAAAGTACAGCTCAGAATAGAGGGCCACCATGTTCTCAGTGCTTCCTGCAGGATCTGAAGGCCTAACGTCTCCAGGAAAACTGTGCTGCTGCACCCCATGACTGAGGAGTGGGCAGTCATGGGGTGTAAGTGAGCAGCACTCACTGAGCTCAGAGTCAGAGAGTCCACAACCACTTTTCTCCCCTGCTGCGTGACCTTGGGAAAACAAGTCCACTTTTCTGTAAAATGGGACTCTTATCTACATCAAAGATCTCATAAAGGATGTGTGCTCATAAAGGATGGGTTTTAATGTGCTTCTTCAGTTGTGTTTCTGAGTCTTCCAAAGAGCTTTAAGGAAATGCTTTGTATTAGAAGAGGTAGTTGCCATATGATTTAGTTCTTGAGTGAAAGAGCCAAGGAGTTGCTTTTAACATTCTTCCATGTTCTGTCGGGGCAGCTGTGCAGGAAGATGTTGTATTGGTTTGTTTGCTTTGTCCTGTGATGAAGGAGGCCTGACAGTCCAGCATTCAGAGGCCAAAGGCTGAAGTTAAGTTCCCAAATTGGGCCCTGCACCCAGGGGGAGCTGGGAGTTAAATGAAGGAAACTTGAGAAAAACGACTCCTGGCAAAGGACCAGGACCTATTAATAGGCTGGGCAGTGGTGGAGAGGGACTAGACGTTGGAAGCATTGATGGGCAAGGCTGAGTTTATTTCTGGGTCAGAATGTTGAGGGGCCTCACTAGAGGGAGTGATACCGAATCCCCTCAAGTCAACCCACCTGTTCTTGTGCCCAAGTCCTTTTAAAGGGCTTGAACTGAACGCCTTAACACACATGTAATAGATCAGCCACATGTGGAACATGTCTAGCTGAGACCTTCAAGTCCTCCCTCGCTTTTTCCCTGCCTGAAGCAGAACTCTCAGGCCAGAGAGTCAGAGGGAATAACAAGGGGCAGGGCTCCATGTGTGGAAGGAATGCTATAGAGCACTCAGAGGGTGTCTGAAAGAGTCTCCTCCTTAAGGAGAAGGATAGAGGAAGGGCAGAGATCATGGTAGAGATTGGTAGGCTGAGGGTGTGAGAAATGAGGTGTGGCTTATAGAGTTGGTGGGCTGTTGCTGAGAGAGAGGGGCCAAACCACTAACAATCTCTCCTTATTGTGTCTTAAACTAGCTGCCACCCAGGTTACCATGGAGAGAGGTGCCATGGACTGACCCTTCCAGTAGAAAATCGCTTGTATACATATGACCACACAACCATCCTGGCCGTGGTGGCCATAGTGCTGTCGTCTGTCTGTCTGCTTGTCATCGTGGGACTTCTCATGTTTAGGTGAGTGCTGGGGGCCCCTGAAGGCTGTTTCTGCAAATTACTTCCATTCCTCCTCCTGGGTCTTCCATCTGATGATCTCCGTGAGCCTTCCTTTCCCCCAGATCCTGGACTAACTCTTGGGGCAGATGCTCCAAAAACTTGAGTTCTCTGGTGTGACATGAGTCTAGTTTCTAGAACCCAGGGTAAAGCTTACCAAGCTAGAGCAGGTATGCCACTCACAGTAGTTCTTTTACTACTTTTGTGGCTCAACAACCCAACCACGGAGCTACCTCTTCACACATTTCCTTCTCTCAGTTCTGTTCTTTGTTGGCAATGATGCGTAGGTTGGTAGTCAAAGCATAGGTGGTGCTATTGGTATAGTTTTCTGATTCTGGGCATTTGAACCTCAGACCATGCTTCCAATCTAGGCACATTCTAGGATAAAGGAGACCTACCAGGGAGGCACTCTATGCCTGTTTTCAAGCAGTGCGATATTCCTGTTGTGAAACCTAGAACAAGTCACTGGTTCTATCTGAGGATTATAACCTTTCTATGATTGTGATCTCTGTCCACCTACCACATAAGGATGTTGTGAGGATCAAGCAGGAAGGAGAAAGCTCTCTGCAAATTGTAGTCTGCTGTTAGAGACAAGAATATCTCTGGGCATTTGGGCTTTTGGCTGGAGGCCTATTGGGGCTGCTAGACTCTCTGGACTTTTTCAGGTGGAGCTGCTCGGGACCTGCAGTTTGTTATAGCAGGCAAGGCTTGCTCACAGAACTTCTCTTTCTCAGGTACCACAGGAGAGGAGGTTACGATGTGGAAAGTGAAGAGAAAGTGAAATTGGGCATGACTAATTCCCACTGAGAGAGACCCATGTCAAGGTAATGGTTCATCCTTTGCTCCTTGGCACCATCACTACCTTTCTTGGATCTGTTTTAATGAATGCCAAATTCTTCTCTTGACCTAGGAGTTGGGAGTATGTTACTGCAGAGTCAGGGTTGGTCCCATTGTAGGATTATTTTCATAGCACTGTCAGTGCTTTATATACACTTAGGGTGAAAGTTGTTAGAGAGATACCCGAGAGATGCCTGAGAGGACAGCTTCTCCCACCCTTTATGCTCCTCCCTTGCCTTCCCAGAAGATTTTTCTATTTCTTAAAACTGGCTTTGGGGGATTCTTAAGACCTCTTTAGACTAGACCTGGCTTTAAACACCTTCCTCTCGTGCTTTAGGAATCACCTGGGAACTACTGCTTCTGAGAAGACACAAGCTGATTGCAGAATCTACAAAGGGGAAGACCTTCACAATTAGCCATGGAGACTCCATCGTCCCCAGTTGTTATCTAGATCGGACCTCCCATAATTGCTTTGGCAAAATACCAGAGCCTTCAAGTGCCAAACAGGATATGTTCACTGGGATCTGGGTCAGAAGAAAGCAAAAGCGAGGGACCTTTACACCCTTTTGATTCCCCTCCACCAAACCCAACTTCCCCCCATAAGTTTGTTTAAACACTTATCTTCTGGATTAATGCCAGTTAAATTCCATATACTCCAGAATCTTTGACTGAAAAGAATAAGAAGAAAGGAAGAAGAAAAAATTTGTAGACTAGAAGAAAGCAACCAAGATTGAGAAGCCATGTATTCAAGTAGTTACCGAGGGACCTGCCATTTGGACTCTACAGTGCTGGATTTGATGAGCTAACTGTGAAATACCACAAGCCCGAGAACTCTGAATTTTGGGACTTCTACCCAGATAGAAAAATAACAACTATTATTTTTTTGTTCGTTTGTTTGTAAAATGCCTCTTAAATTATATATTTATTTTATTCTATGTATGTTAATTTATTTAGTTTTTAACAACCTAACAATAATATTTCAAGTGCCTAGACTGTTACTTTGGCAATTTTCTGGCCTGCCACCCTGCATACCCACCTCTGACTTGGTGCCACCCTCCCCTGCCACAAATCTGAGATGAATCTGTGACCCATCTGTAGTAATTTATTGTCTGTCCACATTTCGGGGAGTTCTGTATGGAGGACGTAGGGGTTAACTATGGTCAGAGCCACTCTATGAGTTGGACTGCAGTCTTGCCTAGGCAATTTTGTCTACCATTTGTGTTTGAAAGCCCAAGGTGCTGATGTCAAAGTGTAACAGATATCAGTGTTTCCCTGTGTCCTCTCCCTGCCAAATCTCAGAAGAGGTTGGGCTTCCATGCCTACAGCTTTCCTGGTTCCTCACCCGTGGCCCTCGGCCTGCAGAGTGGGAACTCACCATCCCTTGTGTCAAGACATTTCTTTTACTCCTGCCATTCTTCTGGTGCTACTCCATGCAGGGGTCAGTGCAGCAGAGGACAGTCTGGAGAAGGCATTAGCAAAGAAAGACTAAAGAGGAAGAAGAAACATTGGAGCTGACTGTTCTTGGTAATTGATTACCTACCAATTGCTATAGAGAAGGTTGGAGATGGGAAGGCTTTTATATAACCCTACCCATCTCACCCAAACTACAAAGGTATGCTGTCATGGTCCTTTCTGGAAGTCTCTGGTGCCATTTCTGAACTGTTACAACTTGTATTTCCAAAACTGGTTCATATTTATACTTCACAATCCAAATAAAGACAACCCTTACTCTGTAGCCTTGTTTGTCTGCTTGTTCTCACTAGGCACTGATTTAACATAGGTATTTTCTTTCTCTCTCTTTTTTTTTTTGCTATAAGGCATGTGCGCTTACTGGAGAGAGACGGAGAGAGAAAGAGAGACTAAAAGTGAGAGATCATCTCCCAAGGGATGGTCATACCACAATCCCTTCTCTATTCTCCTCTCAGGGTTTTGGGCATGCACACATCCTCAGAGTGTCTTTCAAGCGACTGGGCAGTCTGGGTAGTCTTTCAAGCCATGTAGTCTGCCATGTAAGATCCAGCTGCCTTAATCTCCACGCCACCTTCTGGCCCTAATATAGGTATTTTTTAAGCCCTGATTTGGTGTTAGGCTCTATACCATGCCTATTTATGTGTACTATCTCTTGGTATCTCCAACAGCACTTTGATGGAGATACTATGTCTTTCTTTTTAGGGATTTTTTTTTAAAAGAATTATTTTATTTTTTAAAAGAATTATTTTATTTATTATTATTTTCCAGTTTGATCAGAGAGAGACAGAGAGAGAGAGAGAGAGAGAGAGAGAGAGAGAGGAAGTGAGAAAGCAAGCCACCAGGTCCGAGACTTGAACCGTGGTCGGCCATGTAGGAGTCCAGTGCCTTTAACCACCATGCCACCTGCCGGCCCCTTTTTTAGGGATTTTTGCTATAGGGTGCATGTGGTTGCTGAAAAGATAACAGAAAGACAGAAAACTAGAAATCACCCCCTAGAGGAGATGGCCATGCCACAATCTTTTCTCCTCCATTCGCCTCTTGGGATCTTGGGCATGCACACAGACCCACCGAGCATGAATTTAAAGCCACTGGGTCCGGAACTCGAACTGCAGTTGACTACATGGGAGTCCAGTGATGTAATCATATGCCATCTTCTGGTCCCAAATGCCCCATCTTTTTTCAGAAGAGGAAACTGAGGCTTAGAGAGGTTGTTATTTATTTGAGGATACAATTAATAAACAACAAAAGTAGGGTTTATAGTCTTACTTCAGCTATTTTAACTTGATATTTACACCATAATACTTTTTTTTTCAAAGAGTTATTTCATCTTTATCTATTTTATTTCAATTTGACCAGAGAAGAAGGGGGAAGTTGCGGTAGAGTTTGAAAGCAAGCCACCAGGTCCAAGACTCAAACTATGATGGGCCATGTGGGAGTCAGCACCCTTAACCACCATGCTACCTGTAGACCCCAATATAATAATACTGAGTAGACCTTTCACATAGGAAGTTTGGATGGTTGTATCTAGGAAAGACATCAGATGTAATCAATGGGCCCTAGAAGGACCTACTCCCATGCTGTACCTGCAAGCAGGCATTGCTTCTGGCAAGAAGATATCTTTGAATTGCCATTCATTTTTCAAAGCCAATCCATCATCAGATCTTGTCAGCCTTACCTGTAGAATATCTGCTGTATTGGGACCAGCAGTTAGTGTAATGGCTATGTCCCTGGACTCCCATGTTGTCGACTGCGGTTCGAGTCCCGGACCCAGAGGCTTAAACTCACGCTGGGCGCATGTGCGTGCATGCCCAAGATCCTGAGAGGAGAATGGAGGAGAAGGGATTGCGGCATGGCCATCCCCCCTGGGGGGTGATTTCTCATTTTCTATCTCTCTGTCTCTCTCTCTCTGTCTGGCGAGCACACGTGCCCTATAGCAAAAACTTCTAAAAAAATATATATCTGCTATATAAAACTGCTTTTTGGGGCCGGCAGGTGGCATGGTGGTTAAAGATGCTGGACTCCCACATAGCCCACCACAGTTCAAGTTCCAGACCTGACGGCTTGTTCTCTCTTTCTGGTTAAAACTGAAAAATAATGGGACCAGCAGTTAACGTAATGGCTATGTTGCTGAACTACCATGTAGTCGACTGCAGTTCAAGTCCCAGACCCAATGGCTAAAACTCACGCTGGGCGTGTGTGCGTGCGTGCCCAAGATCCCGAGAGGAGAATGGAGGAGAAGGGACTGCGACGTGGCCATCCCCCCTGGGGGGTGATTTCTCACTTTCTGTCTGTCTCTCTGTGTCTTTCTGGTCAGCGTACCTGCCCTATAGCAAAAAAAAAAAAAAAAAAAACCAAAAAAAAAAAAAAAAAAACCCTCTACAACAACAACAACAAAATTGAAAAATGATGATAATAAATAATTTTTTTTGAGAAGTTTTTGCTATATGGCGCATGCGCTCACCAGAAAGACAGAGAGAGACAGAGAGATAGAAAGTGAGAAATCACTCCCCAGGGGAGATGGCCATGCCACAATCCCTTCTCCTCCATTCTCCTCTCAGGACCTTGGGCACACACGCACACGCGCCCAGTGCGAGTTTAAGCCACTGGGTCCGGGACTCAAACTGCGGTCAACTACATGGGAGTCCAGTGACACAGCCATTACGCTAACTGCTGGTCCCAATAAATATTTTTTTTAAAAAATGCTTCTCATCACTGCCACTATCATCATCCAGTCCAATTCACTTGTGCCTGGACTACTTTTGCAGTGGCTTCTTGTCTTCTTAGTTCTATGTTGCTTTCATATAACCAATGGCCAATATAACAGAACCATCTTGTCTTTCAGATCTTGACTGCTCTACAGGCCTTCTCTGATCACTCTTACTACATGGTAGCATATTACTCCCTGCCCACCTCCTTGCATTGCTTTATAATATTCCACAGCCGTTATCACCACTAACACACTATTCCCATTTGGCTTTTGTCCATCTTCTACTAGAATGTTAACTCCATGAGGGGTGTGTACATTGCTCTAATCCAAGATACTGAAACAATACAGCTGAGTTGTTGATACTCAGTGTCTGTTGGATGGATGAATGTAGGAAACAAAATCCAGTCCAAGGGACCAGGAGGTGGTGTGGTGGGTAAGGTGCTGGACTCCCACATAGCCTTTCTTACTTTCCTTCTCTCTTTCTCTTTCTGTTTCTCTCTGGTGACTGCACATGCCATATAGCAAATTAAAATAATAATAATAAATATACAATTTTAAAAATTCAATAAAAAAAAGTCCAACCTAAGGCCAACAAGTGGACAGACATGCAATCCAGAGAGTTTGGTTGGGTTTGGTTGGGTTTAGAAAGGGGCCTCTACTGAGAACAGCCCTTCTTCAAGAACCAGCTCCATGGCTCCTACGATCTAGCCATTTTGGGGGAAACGGAGGAATGAAGAGGTCCCACTGATAATTCAGCCTCCAGTATAGAAAACTCGCATGACTGAACTTCCAAATTTGGGACGAAATCGACCATCTACGAGATGACTAGAAATCGCTGCAGGACCACAAGAAATATGGGAAGGCAGGAAAATACCTCTCTTCCAAGGGAAAAGGATAACTCCTCTTCATCTGCACACAGTTCAATGGAAGTCATGGAAATGTCTGATAAAGAATTCAGAACATTCATAATGGCAAAGCTTACCGAGATGGAAGAGAAGAGAGACAAGGAACTGCTGAAGAGGAAGGAGAAAGGAGTTGAAGAGTTCCAGGAGGTGAGGAAATTCATGCAAGATCTAAAAGAGGAATATTACAAAAGAATCAGATGGAACTGTTAGAGATGAAGGCTATAATACTAGAAGTCAAAATCTCCCTTGAAAGTATTAAAAGCAGACTAGATCATACAGAAAATAGAATCTCTAATGTAGAAGAGAAAGAATCTTAGATGTAGAAGAGAAAATTGCTGGCCTAGAAAAATCCACCACGAAGACTGAGAAAATGGCCCAAAAATTTGAGAATAATATACAAGAAATAGTAGATACAATTAAACGTCCGAACATCTGGATAATAGGCATCCCAGAAGGCGAAGAGACTCATAAGGGCATTGATAATCTATTCCATGAAATCCTGCAAGAAAACTTTCCAAACATTCCCAGATAAACAAAACCTGAAAGAATTTACCAGTGCCAGACCAGATCTCCAAGAAGTTCTTAAGGGAATGCTATGTCAGTAAAATTAAATGCAGACACACAGAAATAAGAGTTCAAAAACTAAGAAAATGGGCAACTTAATTGTAGGGACAAA